TCAAAGTCTATTGATGTAGAATACTGCCTTAAGTCAAATATATCTATCATTTTCTGTAAATAATGTCATCCATTCAGGATTCTATCAGAGAATAAGTTCTCTGAGTTCTTGGGGTTAGAGAGATGGCTCAGTGGTTAAGAGTATTGCAGAGGACCTGGGTCAATTTCCAATACCCACATGATGGCTCACACCATCTGTGTCTCCAGTTCTAGGGCATCCAACACACACTTCTGGCCTCCGTGTGCACCAAACATGTATGTGTTGTGTAGACAAAACAGTCATGCGCATAAAAATAAATAATTAAAAAGAATGACTCCTTAAAAATGAATCTGTTAAACAAGGCATGGTAGCACACACCTTTAATCCCAGCACTAGGGAGGCAGAGGCAGGCAGATCCCTGTGAGTTTGAGACAAGTCTGGTAAACATAGTGAGTTCCAGTACAGCTATTACTATGTAGAGAGACCCTGTCAGAAAAACAGAGTGGGGTGGTGTCGATTATCAAGTAATTCCAAAATTGTAGCAAAGGTCATCCTGGACGTTGATGGCAAGCAATGCCAAAGATCCAGCTGGCATCTCAGGGTAGGCTGGGAAACGTCACACTACGGCCTCTGAGTGACAGGACCCATTCTCCTCCTGAGTAGGCAAAGAGGAGATGCTGAACCAGCATGACTATGAGTCAGCTTCGCTGCAGGAGGTGCGTGCTTTGTTGCGACGCCATGAGGCCTTTGAGAGCGACCTGGCTGCACACCAAGACCGGGTGGAGCACATCGCAGCACTGGCCCAGGAACTCAAGTAGGCATGACCCATCCCCTTCCCACTGAGCTGCGCCCTACTCCTCTGTCAGACCCTTGTAACCAAGCGGTGGCAACCTGTTTCCTCTCGCACCTTTACTTGCTTATGCCCTTCCTGAAACACCATTCCCAACCCCTACATTTATCCATTGGCACTTTCCAGTCCCACTGCTTGGGGAAACCTGTCCCCCACGACCTGGAGACCCCTTCCACCTCAGGATATTAGCCCACCACCGCAGTCAGCCTTGGCCTCACCAACCACCTCCTCCAGTTCCCCTTCTCCCACAATCCTGCTTCTGAAGCCCCAGACTCCACATCTAGACACCTCCAAGGCCTGGAACTGAGAATCCTGGGTGCCAGTCTTCCTGCAAGAACGTACTGAGACCCTGAAAGAAAAAGCTCCTCTCTGCCCCACACCTACTCTGGCTGCCTAACAGTCACTCCTGCACCCTCGCCCTGCTTTGAGTTTCACCAGCGTTCAGTTAGGCCAGGGTCTGCCTCTATATGCATCCCCTTTTTGCCTCATCAGTGAACTGGACTACCATGAGGCAGCCTCGGTGAATAGCCGCTGCCAAGCCATCTGTGACCAGTGGGATAACTTGGGTACACTGACCCAGAAGAGGAGAGATGCACTAGAGGTGGGCAGGTGGACCAGGGAACTGAGGACAAGGTAAGGAGTCCAGCAAGCAACAAAGGGTCTGATCCATGGTCTTCCTGGACTCCAGAGGATGGAGAAGCTCCTGGAAACCATTGACCAGCTGCAACTGGAGTTTGCTCGACGGGCAGCACCCTTCAATAACTGGCTGGATGGGGCTATTGAGGACTTGCAGGACGTGTGGCTAGTGCACTCTGTGGAAGAGACTCAGGTGAATGCAGGCATTCTGGGAGAAGTTTGGGAGGCACTGGACATAATGAGAGGTAAACTGGTCTCACATCCCATCAGCCATACCTCTGTGTTCCTGGGTAATAGGAATAGGAAGCAGGAGAAATCCCCAGTTATGGAGTGCTGGGTTGGCAGGCAAGAGGCCAAGATTCTTAAATCAGTCCTGCACCAACTACTAGGTGGCCTAGTTCTCTGTTCTGCCTCCTCTGTGGCTTGTGATAAGCGGGTATTCTGGCTGATCCTTCCTGTTCTTCCCCAGAGCCTGCTAACAGCACATGAACAGTTCAAGGCAACATTGCCTGAGGCTGATCGAGAGCGAGGTGCCATCCTGGGCATCCAAGGAGAGATCCAGAAGATCTGTCAAACATATGGGCTGCAGCCAAAGTCCACCAACCCCTACATCACCCTCAGCTCACAGGACATCAACAATAAGTGGGACACGGTCAGTGTCACTAGCAACCCTTCATGGTCCCCACTTGCACATATGAATCAATGGAGCCTCTGGTGTCCCAAGGCATGGGGAATAAAGCCCACCTCTATCCAGATCTGGGGTCTGCCACAGATTCCTCATGGCACTGGATAAGCTCGAACACCATTTCTCTATCAGGACTGACAGACACATAATTTATTGTGTGCATATCATCCACAAGCCCACCTATACTAGTTATGTCACTGAGCTCCATTTTACAGATGAGGAACCTGGAGCCTATAAATATGAAGACCTTTGCCTGAGTTTATCTCAATTTGTCTCATGAGAACAACAACTGAGGCCATCTTGCCTCAGAACCATCTCCTGGTCCTCAGACCTGGCCACAGTCCAATCACTCTCCTTCCCAGGTCCGAAAGCTGGTACCCAGCCGTGACCAAACACTACAGGAGGAACTGGCACGGCAGCAGGTGAACGAGAGGCTCCGGCGACAGTTTGCAGCCCAGGCCAATGCCATAGGACCCTGGATCCAGGGAAAGGTGGAGGTAAGGGCTTGGAGAGCTGGGCCAGCTCAGGAAATGGGGTTGAGGGGAATTCAGAGTTCTTATCTTGCCTGGGTACCCCTGCAGGAGGTAGGGCGACTGGCAGCTGGGTTGGCCGGCTCTCTGGAGGAGCAGATGGCAGGTCTACGGCAGCAGGAACAGAACATCATCAATTACAAGAGCAACATTGACCGGCTGGAGGGCGACCACCAGCTGTTGCAGGAGAGCCTGGTCTTTGACAACAAGCACACGGTCTACAGCATGGAGGTGGGGGTCTCACCCTTGGGAGAAAGGGAAGGGAAGCCTGTTGTGATCATAGCTGAATAGAGCCTAGCAAACTTTTCCAATGCCCCATAGCAATATGGCTACCCAGCAATTGGAAATTACTTGTCCAGGCTAGGTGTGATGCACACCTATAATGCTACCATTTGAGAGGTAGAAACACAAAGATCAGGAGTTCAAAGTCATTCTCAGCTACATAGCAAGTTCAAGGTCAGCCTGGAGTTCATGAGGTAAGAAAGGGGGGGCAGGGAAGAAAAGGAAAATGATAAGTGACAAGTTCAGAGTCACAAAGCATCCTAAAGCCCACCCCAGGACTGGCATGGCTGGTTGAGCAATACTTAATATATAATAAGCCATTATAAGATAAAAAGTGACGCTTAGAGTCACTTAGGGAAACTTCAGGATGGGTACAGAAGCGCAGTAAGGAGGAGGACTTGTTCAATGCCACATAATGGATTAAGAATACAACTAACTAGACAGCCAGGGTGTTGATGTCTGTCTTTAATCCTAGCACTTGAGAGGCAGAAGCAGGAGGAACTCTGTGAGTTTGAGGCCAGCCTGATCTACACAGAGTTCCAGGACAGCCAGGGCTACATAGAGTGACCCAGTCTCCAAACAAACAAACAAAAAACTGGAGTAAGGACAAAGAGTTGGCACCCACTGACTGCCTTGTCTCTTGCTCTCTAGCACATTCGTGTGGGCTGGGAGCAGCTGCTCACCTCTATTGCTCGCACCATCAATGAGGTAGAGAACCAGGTACTGACCCGAGATGCCAAAGGCCTGAGCCAGGAGCAGCTCAACGAGTTCCGGGCATCCTTCAATCACTTTGACCGGGTCAGCAGGGCCCAAGTCCTATGGGCTAAGAGATGGGGGAGGGAGGACTGGTGGAATTTGGAGACCAAGCCTGATACCCATTTGCCCTCCACAGAAGCGAAATGGGATGATGGAGCCTGATGACTTCAGAGCTTGCCTCATCTCCATGGGTTATGACCTGGTGAGTCCCCTAACCACTTCTACAAGTACCATCAGTTCCCCTCCTTCTACTGGCTCCCTCTTCATACAAATCATCTCTGCTCATCGCACCCACACAAAGGCTATCTAAAGCAGAGGTCAATCAACTGGTTGTATGTGACCTCAAGGTCTTAGCTTGGACCTCCCCCGCCTAAGAAAACTGCAAAATCATAAAACATTGGAACTATCAAGCAAATGAGGGGGAGTTGCCATAGGCAAAAGACAGATTTCTGCCTAGCATGAAGGACTCCCTAAAGCCAAGCTGATTAATGTCTTGGGAAGAAGAGGGTACGTTGTCACTGGAGCGATACAAACCAAGTATGGAAAATCCCTGGGAGAGGACACGAGGAGCTTTCTTGGCTTTAGCACGTATGGACTCAGTGCCTGCCCTCTGTCTCTGCAGGGGGAAGTGGAGTTTGCTCGCATCATGACTATGGTGGACCCTAACGCAGCTGGGGTTGTGACTTTCCAAGCCTTCATTGACTTCATGACTCGAGAGACTGCCGAGACAGACACAGCTGAACAAGTTGTAGCCTCCTTCAAAATCCTGGCAGGAGACAAGGTGAACCTCGTGTGGTGGTGGAAGGGCTGGCAGGCCAGGGCATGACCCAAGACCTGTGGGCCCTTACTGTCTCCTCTTTCCTAGAACTATATTATCCCAGAAGAGCTTCGGCGAGAGCTCCCAGCTGAGCAGGCCGAGTACTGCATCCGTCGGATGGCACCCTACAAAGGACCTGGGGCTCCCCCTGGGGCCCTGGACTATGTGGCTTTCTCCAGTGCCCTCTATGGAGAAAGTGACCTCTGACGTTCTTAGCAGAGAAGGAGAAAGGGCACTTCCTATGGTGGATTCCACTGTCTCTCAGAGCAAGGGCCTCAAGATCATCCAAGCACTGTGTTTCCGAATAAAGACCAGGTTGTGGCCTCTCCCATCTCCTCTTGGGTCCTGAAGGGGAAGCTGGGCCTTGGAGCTCCTAGGCAAGATCAGCTACCCACCCTCACCTTGACCCATCTGGGATCCCTAACACCCATCTTTTCCCTCAGAGACTAAGCACTTACACCACACTGGGGAGCAGGGTACCTCTTTATTGCTCTTAGAGAAGGCTGGTTACAAGTTTCCTGAATGTGAAAGGGGACCAGAAATTTACAGCATCAGACAGAGGAAAATCAAGGCAGGAAGTCAGAGCCCACTGAGGACAAAGCAAGGTTTTGATGAGAATATTTTCATCCTGCACCTTACCCGAGTCTGGGGTTCTTGCCCCAATGCTGGCTTCCATGAAAGCCTCCTTAACCTCAGAATCCTCTTAGCTACTACAATTCAACAAAGACACAGCTGAGAAACTTCAGGTGGGCATGAGAGGGAGTGAGGGAGGGAAGAAGGGGCCCAGGGCCTACTGCTCACCCTGAGATACCAAGAGCCTATCCCTCGGCCAGCTGCATCTCCTGAGGAGGGGCCTGGGCATGAGTCAGGCTAAGGAAAGGGCCACTGTGGTCAGCGTCCGGTCAGCAACTCCCTCAGTTCACCACTGCTGAGCTGGCCATGGTATTCACACCACAGGCTCCAGACCCGCGATACAAGTAGTAGTAACCCTGAGGGGCAGTGGTACTGGTTGAGGGTACTTGTTGTGGCTTGGCGGGGGTGCTTGGGTAGAGTAAGTCTGCAGGATCAGGGGCCAACCAGGCAAAACTCACCTCCTCACCCCAGTTACTGCCCCAGCTGTTCTTGATGGCCCAATAAGGAGTATTGGAGCCTGGGTAGCAACATAAAATACAAGGAGTCAGAGGCCCCCAATTTTCTACTCAGAGACATATACATTGCGCCCTTCAAATATCTGAAGTGGGCCTACAGTGTAAAATGAACTAGGAAAACAGCAAAGGGCCAATGAGGCCCACCTACCATCCTCATTGAGACCTCATGCACCCATAAGGCTTGAAGGCAGCACTTGTCCAATTGCCTCTACAATAACCCGTCAACCTCTCACAGCCCCAGCTCTCCTGTCTATAAAAGGCATTTCTCTGAGGGATTCAGGACAAGGCAATACCCCAAGGTTCCCCTGAGAGGGCCTAAGAAGCTGCTATGTAGCCCCTGACCATGGCTTGGGGTGGACGGAAGGATAAGCAGGAGGCCAGGGGACTCACGGTTGCCATAGCCCACCAGCAACACAGCATGGTCGATGAGCCAAGGGCTGCAGAGGGGCCGGAGAGGGTGAGCGATCCCATGACGATAGAACTGAGAAGACGGGGAGTAGAGAGAGGGCCAGCTCGAAGAAGTGAGGGAGGCACAGACAGGAGATGGGGCAGAAGCATAAAGGCCGGGGCCTCACCTGCATGCCAAAGGCGTTGATGGCAACTGAGATCGGTCCTTTCTGGGCCAGCCAGGCTGCCATCTCTGAGAGAGGAAGGCAGTGTCAGTGGTTACCTGGGCCCAGCAGGATCAACCTGAATACCCCCACCCTGCCCCCCCCAACTCACTGTTCTCATTCTTGCTCAGCTCCAATGAATCATTGATGTAGACTTTTGCCCTCTGTGCTGAAAAGCTGCAGGCCTGAACATGGCCCTGGTAGCTGTAGTCGTCCTCTGTCTCCAGCCCTCCTGGGAATGAGTAGACTCCTGGTTATTACTCACTCATGTTCTCCCAGACAGAAGAGTGGCAAGCATCCCACAGACATGAAGACACACTTAGAATGCCCAAGGCCCCAGGCCTCTGAGCAATCTCCTCAGACAAAAGGATGTGGGGGAAGGGAGCTCCATTAAGCAGCATGGACAGGACTCCACTCCCATCTCTGTCTCCTTACTGAGACACTTTTGCTCTTTGCTGCTTGTCCTGCTCTCACAGTCTGCTGCTAATATAGCTCAGACCCTTGTTAGGCTCCTGGACCAGTTTCTTTCTAAGCTACCTCGGTTCCTTAGCTCACCCTCCCTCACTGCTGCAGTCCATGGCTGAATATCCCACCTCTCCTTAGGAGAGAGATGTGCTGCGGTCTAGTTTAGCAGCACACTAAGAACACAGAGTAAGAACACAGACTTCCAGGAAGTGAAAGCATCAAGATTCCCCGGGCCCTTGTCCTGCATCAGAGTCTTACATCTGTTTTCTCAATTGGCCCTAGAGACAATCACCAAAGGTTGAGATAACTGAAGCTCTCACAAAACTGACTTCCTGTACATCTTCAGCCAGAAAGGGTCAACATAAAGAGCGGAACCCATTTCTGCCCCTCCTGACCAAAATAATGCATACCCAAATCCTTTATGGCTGTGTAGGCATTGGAGGGCAATCCACCAAAGCAGGCTTTGTCCATCTTGTCACAATCCAAGAGCTCTAGGAGACAGAAGGCTGGTTCCCAGCGGCCCTCTGGAGAGCTGGCCTGAATATCAAGGGGCTGAAGCAGGACACTCACCCTGCTCTGACAGGGAGAGCAGAGTCCCCCGGTTTAGGAACCACTGGCCCTCCACATTGCCCGTGACAGAGAAAGCCCAGCAGGAACCACACATGCCCTGCAAGACAATGTACATGGTCAAGGCTCGGCCGCTCTTTGGGACCCCATGCAGTTTGCCTTCTCACCCCTACTTCTGGGACTCCAACCTGGTCCTTCACTTCAGTGACAGCCCCTTTCTTCCTCCAGTCCCATTCAGGTGGGGCGAGATCATTTATGGACTTGGCTAGACTCATTTTCCTGCCAGGCTCCTTTTGTAAGACGGGATTCAGGTAGATGGTGTAGAATTCCTCCTCTGTAGGTAGAGGTGGGCAGGACAGAGAAGGGTGAATATTTTACAATAGCCCAAGTGAGGAGCTTCAGGATCGGGGCCCACTCTCTTCCAAAATCTCTTAGGGCTCCAGTCACCATCCCTACCTGTGAGGTCACTGAACTTGGTGATCCCATACTCAGCTGTGCCCTGGTCCAGGGCCTGAATCTTTTGTGCTCGTATCAAGTTTCTGGTAAAGACAGTGAAACGCCACTGGGCTTCTGGGGACCAAAGAGAAGGAGAGAGGCTGAACCTGACCACATCATAAAAGGAGAGGTAAGTGGGCCTAGTTTTCCCCCATTGAGAGGTAGACTCTGGATTGAGCTTGAGACTTTTGAGCATGTGAGTGAGTGTGTGCAGATCAAAGGACAACCTCTGGCATCATTCCTCATTCACTTTTGTTTCACAAACAGTCTCTTCTCTTATAGGCTTAGAACTTAATCAAGTAGGCTTGGCTAGCTGGCCACAAGTCTATTTCTGCTTCCCATTTCACTGCTGTCTAGGCCACCACGTTGGGCTTCTTTGGTTGGATCTGGGGACTGAACTCCTATCTTCACACTTCCAAGGCATGTCACTCTTAGTCCCTGAAGCTGTTTGTATGGACACAGTCCTAGGGCAGGCAGAAGGAGACATGGAGGAAACAGACTTCAAAGTGACAAACTGAGAGGTGTGGTCAACTTTGGGGGCCCAAACTAGAGCAATGATTTCTGACTGTAAAAGCAATAACCAAAATGAGACCTAAGGGTGACAGGTCATGGAACAGGCCATGGAGACCAAGGGAATCCAACAGAGAACATCTTGTCTCCGCCTTACCCCACCCTGCCTGGAGGGATGGACGCCCATGGTTTCTGGCCAGGAAGATAAGATGGAAGGAGATAGTCCACTATTCCTTGACAAGATGGCTGCCTAGAAAGCTGGAAAGAACTTGGGGGTTGGGGGTCCTTGAGAGACACAGACCCTTGTGTCCTTTGCTTCCTCAATATCAGGGTACCAAGTCTGATTGGTACAAGTACAGATAAGGCTGGGCCCTACCTTCCCTTGATTTGTAAGTCCGGTTATAGGTAGTCATGAAGTGCTTGAAGACTGTAGCCATCTCTGCAGAAAAGTCCTGGGAAGGCAGAAGGGTGTTTGTTTACATGGAATTCAGCCGGATCCCAGGACACTAACATGGGGTAAAGGGAAAAGAGAAATAAGGAGGCAGCTGGCTCCCCCAGGACCAGTCTTCTCACCTGGGGCAGAGGGTCCTTGTTCAGCAGGGGAAGGAATGAGCTGAAAGTCTCATTTCCATACTCTGGATAGGGTTGGAACAAAGAAGCAGTCAAGGCTGAATTCTGAGTCAAGTATGGTCTGGGCTATCCCAGTTTCTTTGAGCTATGCCAGCACCTGTAACCTTGGTATTCACTGGGCCACAGTCCCTCCTCAGCAGCATGTGTTTTCCTAGCTCATCCAGGACTTGGAAGCTGCAGAGCTGGAGGGAGAGAAGGAACAGACTGGGGACAGAGTGGAACAAGATCCTGGCAAGAGCAGCTAGAAGCTCCTCAAAGGAGGGCACCAGAGGAAGCAATCACAACTTGGTGGAAGGAGGCCCTGGCCAGCAGCAGACACCCAGCACCCAAATACCCACCCTTTCGGAGCATCTTGATCTCTAACTAGTAGTAACTCAGGATGGTATAACCGCTCCCTCTTCACAGGTCCCATCATTCCAACTGCTTGCCAGCCTAGGGCCAACAATAGCTGAGACCCCATCACTCACCATGGTTTTATTGGACATAGGGAGCGGGCACACCAGTGGATCATTGCAAAGTGGCTCCTCCACTGTGGCTTCCAGGGAGAAGAGAGAGCCTCGACCCACCTGAGGGAGGAGAAGATGAGCTGACACAGCCATCTCCCTTTGTTCCTCTTAGGAGCCTGTAGCCCACCTGTGCTTCCCTACCCAGTCTTAGTCTGCAAAGGTCCCTTCCTCCACCGTTCAGACAAACACCCAACATTTAAGTCAAACTACACCTTGCATCATCCCTGGGCCCAGGCCCCGCGCCTGTTCCCCAGGCATCCTCACCCGGCGGACGCGCCCGCGTATGGCCCCCAGCACGGCCCTCGTCCCTGCAGCCCGGCCGTAATTGTACATGTCCAGCGCGAAGCGGGCGGGCGCTAGCAGCTCCGAGGACGACAGATCCCAGGCCTGCTCGTCATCAGTCCAGGGCTCGGCGGGGACCGGGACCAGGGCCACGGCCCGGAGCAGCGCCAGCAGCCACAGCATCTGCAGCAGCGGCGCCATGACGAGTGCAAAGCTGCTGGCTTGGACTCCGCTATCCACTAACTCGCAGATAACCGACCCAGGGCGGAGCCTGCGGTCAGAGGCCACTGAGTGTGTCCCCACGGCCCTGGACGGTGCCGAGGCGGCCAATAGCCACCAATTCCTGGCGCCTGCGCGCTCGCTTATTTACGCGAGGCACGTGGAGCACGTGGGGATGGTGGTGGTGGTGGTGGTGGTGGAAAAGGACACTAGGCTAAAAAATAAAACTAGAATTCACCACTTATTCCATCGTTATCTTAAGCAATGAAAGCCAGATCCCTTTAATCATAACAGACCTGTGAAGTAGGTGTTGTCTGGTTTCACAAATAAGGAAAGAGAAGTTACAGATGGCTCTGATAAGTGTAGAACTTGCACCCAGGCAATTGGTTCCAAAACCTGGCTTCCTGGCTTGATCTCTTCTTTGAGGCCCCTATTTGTCATTCACGAGATGATCAGTAGTAATACTAGTTCTGGGACCCAAGGATATGACTGAGGTGATAGAGTGCTTGTCTAACATGCATAAAGCCCTGGGCTCCATCCCCAGCACAGAGTAAACTTAGCATGGTGAGGCACATCTGTATTCCCTGCTTTCTGAAGGAAGAGACAAGAAGATCTGAAGTTAAAGGTCATTCTTGGATACATACTGAATTTGAGCCTAGACACATGGGTCTGAGTCCCCACCCTTCTTCACCGGCGCATACGACTGACTGTGCACAGGGTGGGATCCTGCCTTAAGCACTGTATTCCAGGGATGCCCAGGGACACAGCATCACAATTGAAAATAGAAGCACCTGCAGCACTTGGGAGGCAGAGGCAGGAGGATCTCTGTGAGTTCGAGGCCAGTCTGGTATACAGGGTAAGTTCCAGGACAACCAGGGCTACACAGAAATCCTGTCTCAACCAACCAAACAAACCAGACAAAAAAGTAAAAAAAAAAAAAAAACAACAACAACAAATACACACACACACACACACACACACAATATATATATATATATATATATATATATATATATATCCTATTGCTACTGCACTTGGTTGCCCCCAGAGGTGGAAGGTTAAGACCCTATTGCTGAAGACACCAGGCATTTCAGACACAAGGCCCAGATGCTCCTAAGATGGAAACGACCCGATTACCTCCTTCCTGGGGGCCAGCCTTCATGTTATACCAGGATCCATGCAAGTTTCCATGGAAGGAAGGAGGGAGGCAACCAACAGTCCTAGGACACCTATGACACCTATGCACCGTTAACAGCAAGCATGGCATAACCCCAGGGTGCAGTAGTGACATGTATACCTTTATGGTAACCAAAAGCCCTGTGTTTAAGACAAGACCTACTGAACAACAGGGAAATAATGTCTGGTGCTGGAAATTTAGCCAGCTACTCCAGGCTAGGAAAGTCGTGGATCTTGGAGAAGAACCTACAACTACTACTTCACTAGGCCAGCATAAACCCTAACAACAATCTAAGTGTTTGTCCTTATACTTCTCATAACCAATCAAAATGTAGAGTTGTGTTGAGATGTATCCCAAATGGCTACATTTACAAAACACTCCCCAACCGAAGGCCCAGGGAACATTTTGGAAGAGGGGATGAAAATATTGTAAGAGCCAGATCAGGGAGTTTTCTGTGAGATTGTGTCTTCTAGTAACTTCAGAAACTATACCCATGAAGTCACACCAACATGACTCCCTAAACACAAGCTGAACAAGGACAACACTAATAGACAGGGGAAAGCCCACAAGGCCTCAAACCTACACAAAGTACTACAGGCAACTAAGGAGTATTGATAGTACGAGAAACACTCTTTTCCAGGGAACAGCATACCAACTGGTTGTCTAGTACCAAATTATCAGCCCTAAAAATATAAATAAGTTACTCAACCAGGCATAATGTTTAGTCCCAGCACTTGGGAGATAGAGACAGGTGGTTCTCTGTACATTTGAGGCTAGCCTGATCTATATAGCCAGCTCCAAGACAGCCAGAGCTGTATAATAGAGAGACCCCCATCTCAAAAATAAACAACAAAACAAACAAAAAACAACATAAAACAGACTAAGCAAGTTGTGCATATGCATAAATGAATGTGCTAACAATTAGTGATAAAAGATGCTACGAGTTTGAAAAAACAAGGAACAGGATATGGGAAGGTTTGGAAGAAAGAAAGGGAATGGAGAAATGTAATTATATTAAAATCTCAAAAATATAGGACATAAAATGTAAATACAATAAAGGTTTCATTGTGACATCCTTTAAAAAATGCAGGAAGCTAGGTATGAGAGCATGCACTTTTGATCCCAGCACTCGGGAGGTCTAGGCAGGCAGATCTCTGTAAGTCTGAGGCCAGCCTGGTCTATATAGTGGGTTCTAGGCAAACCAGGGCTATATTGTGCGACACTATCCAAAAAAAAAAAAAAGTGGGAGAGGAAAAATATATTGATAGTTTACAGAAATAGAAAGCTTTTTAAACACATAAAATGTGAAAATTCAGGGCTGGGGAATAGCTCAGTTGGTAAAGTGTTGCCATATAAACTTGAAGACCTAAGTTTGATCCCTAGTTCTTGTCTAAAAAGCTAGGCATGGGCTGGGGAAGCAGAGATAGGTGGATCATTGGTCCTGAGTCTGGCTTACTAGCTGAGTGTCAGGCCAATGAGAGACCCTGTTTAAAAAACAAATGGAGGACTCCTAAAACTGACCTCCAGTCTAAACATACACCCACAACCCCACAACACATACACACACACACACACACACACACACACACACACACACACACACACTGTGCTCATGGAAGCCGGAGAACAATTTGTGGGAGCCAACTCTCCTTCTATCCATGTAGGTCTGGGGATTAAATTTAGGTCATCAGACTTGAAAGCAAATGCCTTAACTTGCTCAGCCATTTTATCAGCCCACAAAAAAGAAACTTCACATATAGTTTTTTATTTCCTTTCTTTTTCTTATGGTTTTTCAAGAAAGGATTTCTCTATGTAATAGCCCTGGCTGTCCTGGAACTCACGTTGTAGACCAAACTAGCCTTAAACTCAAAAAGATCCACCTGCCTCCTGAGTGCTGGGATTAAAGGTGTGTATCACCACTGCCCAGTTTAGAGCATTCTTTTTGGCTTAAAATGTTCAGTAACAAGGGACTTACTAAGTAAAACACACACACAGAATGCTCCATAACTGTCAAAAGAGTGAATCAGTGGGCTATGGAGAGAGTTCTAGGCAAGCTTGGGCTCCACAGAAAAAAGAAAATGAAGCAGCTATATTATATATTGGATACATTCAATATATATATACATATATATAGGAAATATATAATGAACTTGAGGCACTTTATACAAAGAAAGTGGGGGGGCAGGAAGAAAATGGTGTACTATTCTCCAACTAGTATAGCTATAGATTCTTGCACACATAGTGCATGCATACATGCTTCCTGTGTACATGGGCTGTTTGAAACAGTGCCTACAATGGCCTAACAGGTCTCACATAGTCTAGCATGCCTTTTGGCATCTTTGTTTTTTAAAAGACTTATTTTTTGTATGTGTGTGGTTTCATGAGTTTGTGTGCATCATGTGTATGTCTAGAGCCTGAGAAAGCCAGAGGTCATTAGATCCCCAAGAGTTGCAGTTACAGGTGGTTGTGGGCCACTGATGTGTGTGTTAGGACCTGAACTTGGGTCCTATGTTAGAACAATGAGCCATCTCTCTAGCCCTACTTTTTGTCATCTTGCAACAGCTTTTTGGCAATCTTGCAATAAGAAGGGTCTGTTCACCCCTTCTTATTCCCCTCCTCTAATTCAGGATACCTCACTGTTCCTGGAGCATTGTTGATTTGGAGCTAGCTCATCAATTGCTGTCAGGAAAGTTTTCCAAGGTGTCTACAGGATTTACTTTTCACCTTCTGCCTTTGCTCAAATTTTGTCTTCTCAGTGAGACCTATCCTGACCAACTTTATTAAAATATTACTTATCCTTAATTCCCCTTCCTTTACTATTTTTTTTAACCCCACAGTGCTCATCACCATGTAACACTGCATTATTCCATATGCTTAGTATTGTGTTTATGGTCTGTTTATTGGCAGTGGAATATGAACAAAGAGATGTTTAATTCATCAAAAACAAAACAAACAAAACAGAAGCTGGGTGGTGGTGGTGCACACCTTTAATCCCAGCACTCAGGAGGCAAAGGAAGGCGGATCTCTGTGAGTTCAATATCAGACTGGTCTACAAGAGCTAGTTCCAGGACAGGCTTCAAAATTACAGAGAACTACAGAGAAACACTGTCTTGGTGGGGGAGAGAGAGAGAGAAAGAGAGAGAGGTTTAATTAACTCACTGATGACATCATTAATATGGTTAACTTGACAGGATCTAAGATCACCAAAAAGACAAGCCTCTGGATATGTGTGATGGATTATCTAGATTAGATTGAAGTGGGGGGGGGAGCAATGATAAATGTGGTAATATCATTCCATAGACAAGGATTCTGGGCTACATTAAAAAGAAGAAAGATAGGTCAGCCATGGTGGTGCACACTTTTAATCCCAGAACTCAGGAGGCAGGGGCAAGTGGATCTTTGTGAAATTAGTCCAGGCTGGTCTATAAAGTAAGTTCTAGGATAGCCAGAACTACATAGTGAGATCCTGCCTCAAACAAAAGATGCAGCAGCTACAAAGAAAAAGAGGAGGAAGAAGAAGAGGAAGAAGAAGCAACTTGTTCAGATTCAGCCTTCACCTTTCTCTATAGATGTAATGTGACCAACCACATCCTGTACCTGTCGTCATACCTTCCCCTCCATGATGACTGTATTCCCTGGAACTGAGAGCAAAAAAAAAAAAAACAAAAAAAAAAAAAAAAAAAAAAAAAAAACAAAAGAACGAAGAGGAAAGCAACATACAGATTGTGAGTTTAATACCTTGTGGATGCTCAAAAAATACCTGCTAAATACAGGATATGGTAACAGTTGCTATCTACAATGGAGGAAATTGAAGATTGGAAGTAGGAAGGAAACTTACTTTTTGTCTTTTATTGTTATTGTTATCATTATCATTGTTTTCTCTGTGTAACAGTCTTGGCTGTCCTGAAACTCACTTTGTAGACCAGGCTGGCCTTGAACTCACAGAGATCCACCTACCTCTGCCTCCTGAGTGATGGGATCAAAGACATGTGCCATTACCACCTAGATAATTTGTGTGTGTGTGTCTGTGTGTGTGTGTGTGTGTGTGTGTGTGTCTGTGTGCGTGTGTGTGTGTGTCTGCATATGTGCAGGTGCCAGATGATACCAGGGGTCTCAGATGCTGGAATTACAGATGGTTGCAAGCTGCATGATGTGATGCTGGGAGTTGAACTTCAGTCCTGTGGAAGAGCAGTACATGTTCTTAACCACTAGGCTATCTCTTCTCTCCAGCCCCAGAAACTTACTTTTCAGTACACATTTCAATATACCAAATGCTTTTATTAACAGGTGAAAATCTAGTAAAGAATGTTTTAAGCAGGAAGCTGTTAATTTCAGAGCTGTATTATTCTACTGAGCACAAGAGTGACTTAGAGCTGTAATCAGCCAATTAGTATAGTAAAATAGTGACACTAAACTGAATAGTTTTAAAGATCACGGCTTGCTCCGATCTGTTATAATGAACTCCAAGGGATCATTTGATAAGGGATTTTGTTTGTATTGTATAGCACTGTTGACATACATGGAATACCAGGTTTGAGGAATTCTTTTATCTAGACTGCTAAGACAAAGACTTTCAGTCCCTTGTAGAAATATCCATAGTTGTGCTAAAGCCATTAAGAGGTCTATGTGAGTGTCTGGGTGTTTGGAAATGAGGAAGGGGTTTGGGGACACTTGGCCAAGTGGGTGGTAGGAGTATTCCCAGGGGCTATTAAAGCCTGACTGCTGCCCCTTGTGAACATGGATGATTGGTGGGAGGCTTTTTGGGCCCGTATCAGATTTCGAACCCGCCGCTGCTGCTGGAGCCAATAGAGCATCTCCACTTTGTCCTGCTTCATCTTCTCTAGATAGCGCCGCCCCTTGAAGGTCACTGGCTCCCCAAAAACTGACTCTATCTTTTCCAGCAAGGAAGTCAAAGAAGACTCCATTGCAGTGAGCTTCTTTTGGATATAGCTACGGAACCGATTCTCCTCCAGAAGTCGACTCAGCACCAAATCAGGCTTTTGGAAGAAGCGATTAGGGTCGGAGGCTTGACGTTCAAACCACTCCAGTCTCCCGAGCAACAGCTCCCGTTTCTGAATGGGCTTCAAGACTCGCTCCCAGGCCCTGATCAATGCTGGTAGCTGCTGGAGGCGTGCATTGGAGCTGTACTTAACAACCATGTCCAGCCGGCTCTGGTCAGGGACTTCCAACATGACCCACAGTCGTTCTAGCCGCTGCTGCAGGCTTAGGATGTTGGCTTTCCCAGGTCCTGAACTGTCCTCTATCACTGAGCTCCAATTCCACTCTCCTGGAACAAAGTCTCGCTCTTCATCTTCCAGCAGAGGAGGAGGGTGCTGAATTTCCAGGGACTCTTTCACAGGGGCGGGTAGCTCCACAGGAACCTCTTCTTCATACATTTGGAAGATGACATGGAGGAAATCGGTCTCCTGAGTGGTGAGGTACTTTAAGTAGTCTTCGGCAGACACAGAGGTTTTCCACCAGTTCACCCATGCACCCCTGTTTGGCCGCTTGTCCCAGCTTTTGCGCTTTTGGAGTAATGTGAGAGAAGGTATCTTCTCAGGGCATAACTGCTGCACACTCATGCTTGTTTTTCTGGAGTAAGATCCAACCAGATCATGGTTGATGACTGGGATATGCTTATCTTGGTATATAAAAGCTGAGGATAGGTAAGTGGACCAATCTTCATCTGCTGAGGGTTCAATCTGGGGTCCTTCATCAAAAGATAAGTGACTAGTAGAGACTCGGCTCATCAATTCCTTATATACCTCTTTGGTGCTATTGCCAACAAGACGATCAGCATCCATTTCTTCGATGGCTTTGCAATCCAGCTCCCCAGTCAGATGGTTGTATAGAACTCCAGCCCCCTCAACATGGAAGGTGTCAGAAAAACATCTGTCCGAGAGTTGCACAGTAGCTACTTGTACCACAATCTGATTTTGTAACTTCAAAGTAATAGTCACTGGCTGTGGGTGAAGTGGAGTGATACTTGGGGGGTGAAGATCCCACTGTCCAGAGGCTTCTTCTTCCTGCAGGTTCTTCAGCATTTGGTGCAGGTTCTCTAGGTGGTGCTGGGCAGTTAAGCGCCTAGTAAGCACCCCGAGAAGGGGGGGCAGGCCCGATTCCAGTGGTGAGTAGTGAGCCCATTCCATTGCCATGCTCTTTGTCATCTGCTTCAGATCCTGAGCCACCAAGTTCCCAAAAAGCAGTGGTTTTTTCTCTGGAGCCATGATCAGTGGGGTGAGGGGATGAGGGGAAGGAGGAGGGAGGCCCAACTCATCTGCCAGACTCCACCCCTCACGAAGGCAGGGCATGGACTGGCCCCTGAGGAGCCTGGGGTAGATCGGTAAAGTGGGGAAGGGGGAAATCTCACTGCTACGAGGAGAATGGCTAGGTACCATCGCTAAGGGCCTAACTTCAACTTCTTTTTCCTTTTTCGTGGAGGGCACCCAGAGGAGCTGTTTTCTACCCTTCAGCTGGGGGATGGATTTCAACTCCTTTACTGGATCAGGTTCAGGTTCACTGGGGAAATCATACGGGCGGCTGAGTTGGACAAGGTAGTTCAGGTTGAGGCTAGAGCATGGCACTTGGTCCAAGCCGGTGCTGTGAGGCCAGGGAATTGGACAGAGTTCGAAAGTCCCAGGGGGGCAGGCTGGGGGTCGCAGCTTGGATAAGCCTCCCCGGGTCTGCTCTAAATTCAGCAAGGTCTGAAAATCAGCTAACAGGAAGCGATAAACATCGGGACTGGTGAGGAAAACTGTGCAATCCCTGGCAAGGTTGGCTGCCAACCGGCTGAGGGTGGCTGATTCGGTGAAGACCTTTCTAGTGGCCGGCAGGGTCACCAGAAGGTGCAGGTAGCGTATGAAGAGCTGCTCACTACAGATTAGCACATAGGACTCCAGCCGCTTCCGCAGCTTCTGATTGTTCTCGTAGTTCAAAATAGGTTCTGTAGGAGGTTCCTGCCAGCTGCACTTCAGCTCCTCTAGGATAACCTGGATGAGACAGAGTCGATCTTTGGGAGTCACCCGCGCCGCCCGCCCACTGCTTGCTAGCCGCTTGGACACTTGGCGGCACAGCGGCCCCACTTTTAGCTTCGCGAGCGGGATGGATTGCAAAGTCCGGACCTCCTGAGAGGGGCGCTTCGGAGGCTCTGGAGGCGTCGCCTTCCGGGGGAAGAGCGTCAGTGGACTCAGCAACCGGTGGTAAAAAGGCTTAAGGTCAGGCTCTTGATTATGTGGGTCCATCCTTTCGCAGGAAGCTCCCGCTGAGCCGGTAGAGGACGCCAAATGGTTACTAAGGAAACCAGGGCCGATAGGCATCAATACGCCTGCGCAGCCCTTGGCCCCTACTAGGTGGACAGCAGGCCTGGGCATAGCATGCGCACGCACCAAGGAGGTGGAGCAAAGGGTGGTTCCCGAGGCTCCGCCCACCCCACAAGGTTGAGCAGTGTTGCTTGCTCTCTGGACCCTAACTGTTTTGCGGCCCAGGCGGTTGACTACATCCAGGATGGCTTCGGATTCCCAGGACGGCGGGACCATGTGTGCGGTGAGTGAAAGCTTCGCGTGGAGTCTCACATAGTTTCGGGCCCTGGGGTGATCGTTATCTCGAGAAGCCAGGAAAGAGCAAGCTCCTGGGCAGGGATGAAACCCGGGGTTAGGATAGGTATGCTTCTTGCATTGTGGGTGTTGGAGGGTGAGACCACCATACTGGAATGCCCATGAAATAATGAAGAAGAATTTGGACAAAAGTCATACGCGATGTGTGCTCAGAGTCATCATAGGGAAGGTGGTGCATCAGGATAGTGCTTGACATTTTATCCTGGCCCTGCTGCCCTTACAGCTGGAGTTTGCAGTACAGATGACCTGTCAGAGCTGTGTGGATGCGGTGCACAAGACCCTGAAAGGGGTGGCAGGTAGGAGCAGAATAAACCTTTCTGGGCTCAGCCCAGAGATTTGTGTTTAACCGGATTCCCCTTGTACAGATCCAGAAAGATACCTAGAAAACGAAATTGAGAGCCACACAGACCCAGAAGCAGAGCCTCGTGTGCAGGCCTCAAGCTTGCCTTGCCAGGACTCTCTACTGACTGTTCCCAGCTGAGCCTCTGGCGCTAACCTGAGTGTTTACTTCCTCCTCCTCTCAGGGCTTTCTGGGGTCACCTGAGGTCATGTTTGGGAAACAGCAGTCTTGATAAAGCAAACAGCAGTCTTGGCCCAATTTAGAAGCTTAAGCCAGGAGGTTTGCAGGTCACCTGGTGCAACTAGAAAGATGAAAGGCAGAGTCATCTTCTGTTTAATGTTCATCTAAACTTTCAACAAGTATAGATTAGACACTGGGGGCTTCTTAGGAAAAGCTTTTACCCATGTGCTCAGGTAAAGACCATACTAGCTTTGCCAAAAGAGCATTCACAGAGCACTGCATTGGGAAGCCATTGTGAGAATGGGAAGGAAGGCGATCAGAGGGGTCTGAAGTCAGGATACTGGGGCTTGGGGTAGGGAGCAGTGTGTACAGTAACGAGACAGATGCACTCTGGAGTTAGATCTGCCTGCATTCAAATGCCCTCTTTGCCACATACTAACACAATGACTTTATGCTTACTTTCTGTGTCTCTGTTTCTGCAGTGCTTGAATGATATTCATAACTCAGGATTGTCATGAAGAATGAATTAGCTGATGCAAGTCTTGAGCATGTAGTCAGAGCCCAGTTAATCTCAGGGGATTGTAAAGAGGAAAGGCTTCCAGGCAGAGGTGATGAGCTAGGAGGAGACGTTGGGAACTAATTTTTTTCCTTTCCTCTTTCTTTCTTTCTCTCCTTCCTCCCTTTCTTCTTTTTTCTTCCTTCCTTCCTTTCTTTTTTTGAGACAAGGTGTCTATACATAGACCTGGTTTTCCTGACCAAGTTGGCCTTCAACTCACAGAAATCTGCTTGCCTCTGCCTACCTAGTCCTGAGATGAAAGGTGTGTGACACCTCACTCAGCCTAAAACTGATTTTTTTAGTTTATAACTAGTGAATTTGTGTATAATGTGTCTGTAGGAGATGAGTTGTGCATGTGGAGGTCAGAGGTCAACTTTGTGGAATTGTTTCTTTGCTTCCAGCTGTCACTCTTGTGCTAAAAATAGTTTATCTGCTGAACTACTTGGCTGGTCTGGGACAGATTTTTTTTAAAGGCATATATATATGTATATATGGACACGTGTATGCTGGGGCTGGAAAGATGGCTAGAGTGATAGCACCATTAGTGTGAAATTCCCAGCACCTGTATAAATGCCAGACAGGCATAGCAGCCCACCTGTAGTGACAACACTCAGAAGATAGAGATGGGATCCCAGGGCAAGCTGGCTAGCTAAATTAGCCAAATTGGTGAGCTCTGAATTAAAGTGACAGAACCTGCCTTAACCTAAAAGTTTAATCCCAGCACTCAGGGGGTAGAGACAGGTGGATCTCTGTGAGTTTGAGGCCAGCGTGGTCTACAAAGTTCCAGGACAGGCTCCATAACTACACAGAGAAACCCTCTCTCAAAAAACCAAAAAAAAAAAAAAAAGGTAGCAACACATGGCCCCCATACTCAGAAACATGCATACATACATGTGCATACTACACACACACACACACACACACACACACACACACAAAATCATGGGGGCTGGAGAGATGGCTAAGAGGTTAAGAGCATTCACTGGCTGCTCCTCCAGAGATCCTGAGTTCAATTCCCAGTAACCTCATGGTGGTTCGCAACCATCTTATAGTGGGATCTGATGCCCTCTTCTGTCATAAAGTCAATAGAGCACTCATATACATAAAATAAATAAATAGAATTGTATTGGCTTTTATGTGGAAAGATACTAAAGTAGTGGTTCTCAACCTGTGGATTTTGACCCATTGGGGATTGAATGACCCTTGCACAGGGGTTGAATATCAGATATCCTGCATATCGGTTATTTACATTAGAATTCATAACTAGCAAAATTACTGTTATGAAATAGCAACAAAAATAATTTTATGGTCGGGGGTCACCACATGAGGAACTGTATTAAAGGGTCACAGGATTAGGACCCTAAAGGGTCAACAAAGAAAACAGGTAGCCCATAGATAGGTTCTTGAGCAGGCTAAGGTGAAGTGAGACATCTAAGACAAGGGCTGAGGCCTGAATGTGTTTTGCACACACTGCAGATACGGTTTCCCGATAGCCTGGCCTGGGCTAGGGTAGATTCTCAGGCCCAGGAACTGCTTCTGATGTGGGAGGGACAGAGCAGAGTGCTTTTGTAACTGTGCCTCTTCAATTCCTGACCTTAAGTCTGAACCAAAAGGTGGCATTTCCAGCAGAACAGTGGTTCTGTTTGCCAGGTGAGAATAAAAGAGAGGCCACAGTTACTGTAGGGCAGATGTGAAGTTGGAGCTCCTGGGAGTAGAGTAAGTCTTTCCCAAGGGCTTGGGCAACTCTCTTGCTCAGTATATTTTGTTCACTGAAACTCTCCTGTCCAGCTTTGAGAAAGCCAAGCTGATTTCACTTTCTCAGACCAGAAAACATGGTTATCAGAAGTCTCTTTTTGGTGCTTAAAAACCCACTGGAGCCTTGAATTGCTCTGTGTCCAGCTGAAGTCCTGCTTGTCTGTTTTCCCAGCAAGAATGCTTTATAGGAAGTATAGGCCCTACTACATCTTGGCAGCCGAAAGTGCTGCTTTAGTGGAATGACTCCACCTCCTTTAGACTTTCTTTATCATTCCAAAACACAAAAAGGGTTGTAATTGGTACAGGTGGATTGCTCAGCAGAAGTGGGATTTACAGTGGAATGTGTGTTTGTGTGTGTGTGTGTGTGTGTGTGTGTGTGTGTGTATTGGGGGTGTGGGGGGCCTAGGAAGCCTGGGCTAGGGGCTCTTCTTAGGTGAATAGAAGGTTTGGGGTAATTGTTTTTGCTCTGTAGCTAGGCTGCCTGGACTAAGTTACAGTTCTGTAACTTACCTACTTTCAACAAATTGTTTCAGTGTTCTGTGCCTTAATATCCTTATCTGTAAAACAGAGGTAAATTTCCTAGGGTTACTGTGAATATGAAATGAAACAATGTAGGTAAAACACATCAAAAAGGGCTTAATGGGCTGGAGGGATGGCTCCGGGCAAAAGTCCTGGCTGCTCTTACAGAGGATCAGGGTGGAGCAGTGCTTCCTCACCCCCTTTTGGGCGGGGCTTTCAAGACAGGGTTTATCTGTGTAACTTTGGAGCCTCTCCTAGCATTCAATCTGTAGGCCAGGCTGACCTTGAACTCATAGAGATCCATCTGCCTCTGCCTTTGCCTCTGCCTCCCAAGTGCTGGGATTAAAGGCTTGTGCCACCACTGTCTGGCTGGTCCTTCCTTTCTTAATGTGTGTAACAGTTTTGTTGAGCTAAAATTCACATGCTACAAAATTGGCCCATTTGAAATATACAGTTCAGTTCACTCAGTGAGCTATGCAGCCATCTCCTCCATTGGTTATATAATTGTTACTTTCTAAAGAAATCCTGTATCCTCTCTCCCCTTCCTTTTCTCCAACCCTGTCCTCTATCATCTCTTTCCTGTCTGTGTCATATACTATTAGTGGCCATTTGTGGCTGGTTGGCATGTAGCAGAATGATACCCTCATCTGTGCTGCAGCATGTGTTTGTACTTCTTTGATATCTTGTCGTGCAGTTGATGGACATTTGGGTGGTGTTCCCCTTTCAACTGTCATTAATAATGCTAATATAGTTAGTCCAATTTAAAAATTTATTGCTTTGCTTACTTAGTGTGGGACACCCACACCACAGCATGTATATTGAGGGCAGAGGACAACCTTGTGGAGTCAATTCTCTTCCGCCTGTGTATGGGTTCCAGGTTAGCCCGCTTTTAATGAAGAAAAGTTTTATAAAGAATTTTCTATGTTTCAAAAGGTGTAAGCTAGGTGTGGTGGGACATGCTTGTAATCCTAAAATTTAGAAAGTTGAGGCGGAGGAATCACCTCAAGTTTAAAGCCAAGCTGGGCTAAATATTGAATTCCAGATTAACCTGCGCTACAGAGTAAGACCCTGCCTCAATAAACCAAAAAGTAAGATACTTACATGTAATAAGAACTCACAGAAAGGGCTGGAGTGTAGCTCAGTGATAGAGCATTTGCCTAGTTGTGAGAGACCTTGAGTTCCACTCCTCACATTACACACACACACACACACACACACACACACACACACACATACACACACACACACACACACTCACACACGGGGGGAGGGGGGCTCACAAAAATACCACACCCAAGCTCTTAATAATAGATGGGAGCTTCCAGGTTTCCCTCTGACCTTATGAAACTTTGTAGAAATGGGGATGGGGAAGTACT